ATACAGTAAAATATAATAATATAATATAAAAACATAATATAACTTTTATATTTAAAAACGCATTTACTTTTGTATAAAAACGTTTTTCAAATAATCGAGCTACATACAACACAAAATACCCGAAACGAAACGAGACACATGTCCGATCTGTTCAAGTAGTCTCACGAATTAGGTTAGATGACATGCTCACTTGTCCTAAATCCGTTCGTGTGAACTGAACATTAGAGCACATGGATGCAACTGCTCTAACCACCACCTTACCTGTAATCCAAGTGTTCTCTGGGTTAATTTGGAGCATACGACGCGAACAAATCTTTGGACAACTTTGAGCGTTTATTCGCTGGATTCGCCATTTTGATAAAAATTGATGGAGAGGAGGTAAAACGCTAGCTTTTACTTGCTGCGTAAAATTACATCTTTAACGCTAAAAAATCTTTAATATTTTTTTTAACGAATATAAGATGATTATTCTGTTTTACAATTTTTTCTCACGCGCTTGTAATTTTTACTACATCTTCCGAATAAATCGTTATTATCCCTCTGTTTTTCAATATAATTAAATTTGAGATATTATTCGTAGATATTAAAGTCGGTATTCATAATCGATTCTTAGATATTCATAATCAGATCTTATATTCAAGACCGTCTTAAGTATGGTCTTAAGAAGTCACGAACTAATCAGAAGACTACATTAGAGCGTCTTAAGACATTACTCAAGACAGTCTCGAAATAAAACTTGATTATGAATATCGGCCTTATTTCAAGCGCATCTTAAGTAATGTCTTAAAACGTTAATGCAGCTATCTGATTGGTTCGTAACTTCTTAAGGCCGTACTTAAGGCGGTCTTAAATATAAGATCTGATTATAAATACCGGCCTAAGAGATACACGTCTTACATATTTTTTTATCACGGGTCAATTTTATTTTATTTTATTTTTTTTTATTACAAAGCTGATATAAGGCCTCTTCTTTTTGGGTAAACTTTTGCACCAGTTCATTTTTTTCTTTTTCTCTCCAGAACGAAAGAAGAGAAAGAAAGATGAACTAATGCAAAACGTATGAATTAAGACCACAATGAATCTGTATGTATAAACATGGTCAAATATATTAGTAGAACCATGCAATTCGGTGCACAGTTAGGGTCTAAAAGATTGCAACACTTTCTTTTCGATAGATTTCGTAATGCAGCTTGTTCCCCAAGCGATTAGTTCTTACTTATGGACCTATAAATAAGAACCAATCGCTCAATGAATAAGCTGCATTCCGAAATTCATCGAAAAAAAGTGTTGCAATCTTTTAGACTCCGATTGTACATTAGATTACAGTATTTTTTTGTTGAAGATACATCTCATATATGGATATCGTTAATTAGGCAATTGCTCTTTTCCAATGCACTAATTTCATGCCTAACTATCAACCTTTTATATGCTGTTTGAAATTGTTGAGCATTAGGATTGTCATTAAATCCTCCTCGACTTCTTATGGCGATAAAATATGTCTTCAAATGATTTTGATTGAACTTAAATGTTAATAAATAATTCAATTCTAATTGTTTCAAAACATACCATAACTCAAATGTATTTTTTAAACAGATAATGAATCCTAGAAAGCCAACTTTTCTATAAATTTTTAGAATCAATAGACCTTGTACAGTTTTAAAATCGCTGATGTATTGTATAATGTTATCAGTATGAGCTTTTAACTTATAGTTTTTATCTGTTAAAGGTACTTTATAAATTGTCCTTTTTGCAAACTGATTGCGCATGTTCAAGATATCAAAAGCATTATTGAACATCAAGCAGAATTCAACCGTATTTTTGGGAGAAAAACAACTTCTTAAAACTACTTTCGTGTAAATATTTGAAGGTAGAACTAACACTTTCACTCAGAGTTTGAGCAGCTATTTTCATATTTATTGTTTTGGTACAAAATATATTTTTTAGTCAATTTTGTACCAGCGCGCAATCCTTCTTCTAGCTTTTGTAGGAGCACAATATCTTGCTGATATCTTCATCTTTACTTTTCAAAATTTTGTAATCACCCAAAGTGCTTTGTACTAATTTTAACATGTGACATGGATCAAAGAAACAGAAAATTTGTTCTTTCGTTATGGGATTGATGAAATATAATTTAAAAGCAGAGCTTATTTCGAAATTTGCTTCTAAATATTTGCACATATTTATATTGACACTAGTTTCATCGAAAGTTACAGAATATACTTTTACTCCTGTCATTTCTATTAATTCAAAGCATAAACTAACTCTCTCAGTTGCATTTAACGACTTCAATAAAAAATATCCTAGAAATTTTCCAATGGCCATTGAATGCGATGAGCATGAAAACTAAGGCGTTTGTTGCATAAAGTGAATAATCCACATCGTTAAAGACGTCAGTATGATCAACCCCTAAATCAATAGGTCCATAGTATCTCTGTCCATCATACGTTACTTGTTGTCGAATCCCTATTTTTTCTATTACAAGATTACACAGAATCGAATTGTTATTTGTTTTAATCTGACACTTTAGAGTTTCAAATGCTTCAGCACGTATAAATTTGAGACGTGCATTTCAATACTGAATATCATTTTTTAGTATTAGAGGATTCAGGTAAAAGATTACAAGAATTCTTTCGTATGTAATTGTAAGTCTTCGACGAATAAAAGTTTAACGTAAGTGCAAATGCTCTTAATTCAGATGAATATTTCCTTTTTCTGGCTTTTTTACGTTTTAAAATTTCTCGCATTGGATCGAATAATTATGCCTAAAAAAAACAAAATGTATATTTTATTATTTAATGTACAATTCAAAATTAATCTTAAGCCTATCGCATTATTACTAATTTCTGGATTGTATATCAATTCATTTTAATTCATTATTATATACAATTTTGTCAAAATGTACCATTAATCGATCAGCAGCATCATCTGATATAACATTCTTTTCTTCAGATGATCTATCAAAGCTTTCATAGTTTTAATACGCTTTCTCAATCTAGTAGTTGATTGTTGTAAAGTTAAAATTTTTCTTCTTTGTTTTTTTACTGTGAGCTTTGCTAGATTTAAAGCTCTCTCAGCTCTTTGTGGTGTAGCTAAATGTGATATCCTAATATCGCCAATATAACGTGGTTCATGTGGAGAGTTTGGATGAGTTTGGAAGTCCATCAGAGACATTCCATCAATATCTGATCAACAATAATTCGTAATACTATATTCTCATGTATCGAATAATTAAGATTCCCACTCATGAATACAAAATATTTAATATACACGTTAAAGAATAAATAGTAAAAAATCATATTTCAAGAGTATGTGACTAAAGCCAGTAGTATACATTTTTTCTTGCTTGATCGCATGCATTGTAATAAATTAGTAGAAATTATTTATGCATTTTATATTTATATTATATATTAAAAATTATACAATTTTATTAATTTATTAGAACGCAAGCAATCCAGTAAAAAAATTTGTATCATGTGCCATTAGTTTATCATTTAAAGAAACTTACCATGATCAATTTTTTCTTCTTTAAGAATTAATTTGTCCGTATTTTTATCAGCTATTATAGTTGAATATGATGGTTCCTCTTTACATACATTTACTATAGTCGAACATGATGGTCCCTCTTTACATACATTTACCATTGTTGAACATGGTTCCTCTTTACATACAGTTACCATTGTTAAACATGGTAAGAAAATTTGTATCATGTGCCATTAGTTTATCATTTAAAGAAACTTACCATGATCAATTTTTTCTTCTTTAAGAATTAATTCGTCCGTATTTTTATCAGCTATTATAGTTGAATATGATGGTTCCTCTTTACATACATTTACTATAGTCGAACATGATGGTCCCTCTTTACATACATTTACCATTGTTGAACATGGTTCCTCTTTACATACAGTTACCATTGTTAAACATGGTAAGAAAATTTGTATCATGTGCCATTAGTTTATCATTTAAAGAAACTTACCATGATCAATTTTTTCTTCTTTAAGAATTAATTCGTCCGTATTTTTATCAGCTATTATAGTTGAATATGATGGTTCCTCTTTACATACATTTACTATAGTCGAACATGATGGTCCCTCTTTACATACATTTACCATTGTTGAACATGGTTCCTCTTTACATACAGTTACCATTGTTAAACATGGTAAGAAAATTTGTATCATGTGCCATTAGTTTATCATTTAAAGAAACTTACCATGATCAATTTTTTCTTCTTTAAGAATTAATTCGTCCGTATTTTTATCAGCTATTATAGTTGAATATGATGGTTCCTCTTTACATACATTTACTATAGTCGAACATGATGGTCCCTCTTTACATACATTTACCATTGTTGAACATGGTTCCTCTTTACATACAGTTACCATTGTTAAACATGGTAAGAAAATTTGTATCATGTGCCATTAGTTTATCATTTAAAGAAACTTACCATGATCAATTTTTTCTTCTTTAAGAATTAATTCGTCCGTATTTTTATCAGCTATTATAGTTGAATATGATGGTTCCTCTTTACATACATTTACTATAGTCGAACATGATGGTTCCTCTTTATATACATTTACTATAGTCGAAAATGATGGTTCCTCTTTACATACAGTTACCATTGTTGAACATGGTTCCTCTTGATACACATTTACCATATATTCACTTTTGTAGCATTTTGCAATCTCATCTTTGCTGTTATTTTGATTCCTACAATTATAATATATATTATATAACTAAAAAGTAACCAAATCAAACAATTTATTTTATATATACAGTTAATTTTTTTATGTGCATACCTTTTCCTTTTTTTGATATGATAAATAGATGGTATGCTTCCACTCATTAAAATTCTATTAGTTGCTGTAAGAAGGTAATCTTTTTCCGTGAAATGTTTTGAGCATAAATGAGTGGAAGTTTTGACTACAAAATTTTCACCAAAATTACAAAACTCTAACCATTTTTTTCTTATGTGCATATCTTTTGGAAATCTGCAAGAATTGGAATATGATTTTACTTAACCTAAAACACGAGCGTAGAATATAAGTATTTATTGATAATTACGAGTTGTGTAATACACTTACTTGTGATAAGACACTGTTTTGTCACGGTTACAACATAAAATGCAATATCGAACCATTTTATGTAAGAAATTGTAATAAAATCGTGTTTATATTTATTAATTAACAAAGAGTGTGCTCGAGTTGTGACACTACGAATGTTTCGAAGCATTTGATTAACCAATCGAAAGAAAGAATTTTACTAATTGACCTTACTAATTGAATTTACTAATTGAATTTATTAATTTAATAAGATTTCTATCAATTTGTATAGTTTTCTATAAGTTTATCTCATTTTCTATTGTCAACCTCGCGAGCATTACGATTGATATCGGATATGAATTCTCTCGTGTTTTATCAAGTTTTATATAAGATTTGTACAAAATTCCTATAAGATTTGATTAAAATTATTTCATAAAATAAAATAAAATTTTATACAAATTTGTATTTCTGCAATACAAATAAAACGTTCATATGTGTTTCAGAAAATACGCCAATCAAAAAATGCTTTGAGAGTATCGTCATAGTTTAAGCACAGTATATATAGTAACGCAACTCTCCTGATTTTATGTTAGCCAAAATGGAGTGCGCATGCGTGAAATAAGTAAGTTGTCTCTTTTTCTGCTTTTTTATTGTTCTCACTCTTTCTCTCTTTATTTAAATAAACATTTCAATGATCACTTAAATATTTATCTTTCAAACATACATGGTTCAGAGTAGAATTTAGAGGGAAATATTACGTGTATTGTCCATGTGTGAAATGTTCTGTGAGAAATCTCGAGAAATTGGTCTAATTCTTGTGAAAAAATAATTGTGAAAAAGTGAACAAAAAGTAACATAAAAAATCGAACAAAAAGGATTTCTTTTTATTTATTGTATTTTAAACTTATTTTTACATACTCGTATATGTATAAATTTCTTTTTTATCAGCTTTTTCATAACATTTTTATAGATATATTAATTACATAATATTTTTTTATACAAATATACATTTGTAAGTTAATTTAATATTTTTTCTAATTTTTCTATATTTTTTTTTTATTTTTCAATATATTTACAATTTATTTTTATTAATTTTCATAAAGTTTAAATTATTTCATCGCAATATTAGATTTATTCACATCGCATGCTCTAATATGCTCCAATATGTTCCTACAATAGCACTTACTTCAACGAATTCATTGAATTGCGATGAGAATAAATCTAGTAAGTTTTGGAAGAAATTTTGACAGAGTAAAAAAAGGATGTAAAGAGAAAGAAGTTTAAATGATAACCAACGCTACTTAACTTACTTATTTCACGCATGCGCACTTTATTTTGGTCAACACTAACATCAAAGGTGCTGACAAAGAATTCGTTCCTGTACTCTACATACTGTGGGCATGATTTCTTGCACTGTTGACTGCAACTGCTTGCACGTGTATAATCGAGTTGGCTTCGTCGATCACGATACGACTACAGAAATTAGGATACAATTAGATGTAGCGCAATACGGTATGCGATAAAGTAACCATATATTTCGTTTAATTTTTAATAGTAATTAATATAAATATAAAACTTAATCTGCGTTTGATTTTGCAAATCGAAAGTAATTATTCTAGTCTTTATCTATATTTTTTCATCTGAACACAGGACAAAACCCTGATAAAAAAAAGTTGATAGAATACAATTGAGAATGATAATAAGATTTCTATCAATTTGTATAATTTTCTATAAATTTATATCATTTTCTATTGTCGACTCGCGAGCATTATGATTGATATCGGATATGAATTCTCTCGTGTTTTATCAAGTTTTATAAGATTTGTACAAAATTCCTATAAGATTTGATAAAAATTATTTCGTTAAATAAAATAAAATTTTATACAAATTTGAATAAAATATATGCATATTTTCTGCAATAAAAATAAAACGTTCATATGTGTATCAGAAAATATGCCAGATATCTTATGATCATGGAGTATAAACAATAAGAGGCCGAACTGATATGGAGGTCGTCAAAAAGCGTGGTTTAAAGTAGTCATCTAAATTAGTTTGATCGAGATGTCATTTTATGTCTCTATTCTTTGATTATGTGTGTTCGGTTGTGTGTGCGTAAGCGTATATGAGAGGAGTTTTGATTTTAACTACACTTTTCAAAACCTAGTTTGGTCTCCTATTCTCTATACTCTATGCTTATGACTCATTTTTAACGGATTCGTGAGTTATCGATACTCATACATCTCTGATCAGTTTCTTTTATCACGCATGTTTTTGGTATTCGAAAATGTCACGTTATAGTTAAAATTTATCGGAATCTCCACCTCTTTTATCGTAGTGAAGATCCCTCTAGTTCTGGGGATCGATTCTGGAAGTCGAGAATAGATTTTGAAAGGAGGTGAAAATTACAAAAATGTGCAAAGATTACTAGGTCTTGACCAATTAAATTACGAATACTCTAGTGAATTTGCTCACTTGTAATTTTCACCTTATTTGAAGATACACAATCAACCCCTTAGAATCGATTCTGTATCTTGAAATGAGATGAAAATTATAAAAGAGAATTTATTAGAGAGAATACTGATTATTTCAACTAGAATACTGATTATTGGTCAACACCTAGTAAATTTGCTTACTTTTGTAATTTTCACCTTCTTTGAAGATACAGACACATCGACCCTCTCCCTATAATTCGAATGAGATCACTCACTTTTCGTACTTTTATATCACGTGAGTTTGTTTATGTAATTCTGTAATGACGAAGTGAAAATACGAAATCATTAAATTTGGTACGAGGAAAAACGTGATAATGTGAAGTGAAATATAGGCTGCAGTCCGATTCACGCTCACGACGGTTAAAAATCATTTCATTCTTGTTATTTGTAAAATGTTAAACAAAAACAAACGATGTTCATGAGCGTTGTCTGCATGAATTGGACCACGGTCATAAAGTTGAATTTATTCCTAATTTTTTTCCAATTCAGATGACGAATAAGTCGAACTTCGATTAAAAGTGGTTAAAAGTAATAAACCGTGAGTTGTGGAACTGGGCCTACGACGATTCTCTGGCATTATTTACAAAGTCAATCTTGTTGAAAATAAATATCTCTAAGCATTCTTCGTGTAATTCTCATATGTGTGGTTCAAAGTCTCTCATCAGTAACTCTTCATCCAGTAACAAAATTGCTACCATGTATATTGCCATTTGATTTTATTTTTGTCTTTGGACTGTACAAAATTATATTTAACCTTAAAATTGTTAATTCAGTCGGTTCAGTCGGCTGTGGTTCCTCTTTCGCTGTATTTCTCAGTCTTTTTTTCTCGGATCTTACCATTTGACAAGAAATTTCTTGTCGAACGAACTCGCGTAAAATTACTCGCAATTGCACCATGAAAGTTAGATAATCACGCGATGTGATATGGCTCATATTTTCACCATGATAAAAGTTAGAGAATCGATATCCTGTGGATCGATTCTGTATCTTCAAAGAAAGTGAAAATTAAAAGTGAGCAAATTTACTAAGTGTCGATCAATGAAATAATCAATATTCTAGTAAATTCGTACAATTTTATAATTTTCACATTATTTAGAGATACAAAATCGATCCCCTGATCGAATAAGTCTGTTCTTGTAAACTGCTAATAATACACTCCGACTTATGAGTCCGGTACACCAGCGCGATTTCGTTGCGCGCGACACGCGATATCCAATGACAGTATACGTTTAGAATGAGAATATTAGTAAAGCTGTACATTCATTGGATATTGCGTTTCGCGCGCGACGAACATCGCGCTGGTGTGCCAGAGACATAATGCCTATTGCACATTGGACATATGCGATGAGCGATATCCAATGAGAGTTTTGCTTTGCGTCGTCACGTGAAAAAAAGGCGAGCTTTTATATTGCTTGTATAATATTGCTCGTCGCGTCCAGTGTGCAGTAGGTATAACCAATTTGAAGCGATCCGCTGTTGTAGTTTCGCGTTTTACTGATTATTAATTGCTTCCGCGGTTACGTGATACGCGATAAGGACTACCACACAAAAAATTTCTGTAACAGTAGCCTTATACTTGAACTTAAGCTGATGAGCCAATTAGGATATTACTTTAAATCTATAATATACGTACTCTAATGGAAACAAAAATAGCAATAAATTTATATATTTATTTACTTATTAAGGCGAGTTTCAACCGATTGGAATTCACCTTAGTACGGTTATGGATAAGTTTACTGTTATTTCTATTTTTGTTAGATTACATAATCTAAAGCAGTATCCTGATTGGCTCATTGGCTTAAGTTTATATCTTACGCATACTGTTACGAAATTTTATGTGCGGTAGCCTTAAATACACTCCATGGGACTCTAGCCTTAAATGAATTAAATTTGTATTACTGTAATAAATATATCGTCTTTTGTTTCAAATATAAACGAAAAAAGCGACGACATAGATAGAGACAAATACAAGGTAAAATCAAAATTGGTAATATAGATTCTCCAAAATGTCTGGGTAAGTTATTCAGAAGGATAGTGTGTGCAATTGGACAGTGTCTCTTTTTAAATCTTTGCCCTCTCTGTCAATGGACTGTTTAAAAGGATGCCGCACCATAGAGCGGAAATTGGCAACGGAACGGAACTCGCAGAATCAACACGACAAATCACAGACATTCTGTTTTGTTTCTTATGTTACATCCCAGGGTTCGATCGGCAGGTGGCCAGGATTCGAACAGACCTGGAATTATCGGTGGGTGCAAGGAGTACAGTTTCGCGTCGGCGGGAGCGCGGAATTAAAATCTGTCCAATTTAAGAGTTGAATTTTCAGCTAGATTTGCGCGTCCGACACGGCGATGATAATCGATTCCGGGGAGGTCCAAGGTGTACCCCCCGTCCTGTTTAAGTAATTGAGAAACTCCTCCAAAACTTCGAGGCAATCGCGGCAATCCATGAAATTACGTACGTGGCCGTATGACGACACAGAACGTTGGTTGCAAATCTCGAATCGCTTGGAAAACCCTAAATGGATGCAATGTCGCAATACTCCAAGATAATTCTCCTTTTCATCGACGGGTAAAGAGGTGTAGCACTCTGGACATTTAGTCTCGCCGTTTTCTATTTGACGAAAGAATAATGAGGATACGCAACATGCGCTACGTATCCACATGGTGTAAGAGTTAGTTTCCAACAAACGAGTGCCGATGAGACAGACCCGCGAACGCGGGTGCGCCGGACACATACTACGGACGCAAACAGGATTCACGGTCCGCTGTGACTGAAATGTGAAAAGTAAAAATATCCTACCTTTACGATGAGGTCTCCGCCAGTGGTTGCGGCATGCGGTTGGTCGGTGTGCGTGACCTTCAGACTTCCCACTGTTCTGGACTTGGCGTCGGGTTCGTCCTCATCGATTCGTAGCTTTTGTGTGCACAATAGTCACACAAGTTCACTAATTAGATCGTCATTGATACGAATTAAATATGGGAAGGTAGTTAAGAAGGATTTGTTGAGAAAGTTCACTCGGATTTAGCTAAGATGTTTATTAACTTTAATTCACAAAATCGCTTAAACTTAGGATCACTTAAATTGTAGAATTACTTAAATTTAGAATTACTTAGATTTAAAATTGGAATTCGATTTAGAATTACTTAGATTTAGAAGTTGAACTAGATTTGGAATTACTTAGATTTAGAATTTGATTTAAATTTAGTTTAAAAGAAATTGAAACGATTACATTCATACGCGGCGCGCAAAACTGAGGCAATGATTCGCCGACGGAAGAGGACTTAGAAAATTTCCGGCCGAGGGCACTCGGCCTAAAACGCTAAGACGCTAACTCCGTTACTCTCTGTTACTGACTGTGTTCTGTACTCATGCCCCAAGGGTATGTTTTTGAAGAAGGGAAGGATCCTCTTCCGTCGTTGCCCTGTTAGTGCGCATATGATGGGGAGGCGTCAGGTATGGTCCTGGCGATCTCATGTACCGCGCCAATCTATAAGTGATAAAAATGTTCATGATTTGTCCAAAGATGATTTTAAACACAAGTTTTAAAATTACTGCGGACGTGACACTTATGCTTTTTTTAAATCCCATTTTTATATTCCATTTAATGGAATAAGCGGAAGCAAAACACGCGGAATAATATAGAATCATATTTTTTATGTTATTTACAATACTTATAATAATAAAAACTAGTATTTTAATGTAAATATAACAATGTATATAACAAACTGGTAAACATTAGAATTTCTTTAGCGGTGAAATGTTTTTAATATAACTGTAAAACTATCTCATGATTGACTGAAACTTGATCCCGCTCAATTAATGGGACATAAAAGAAAGAAAATAAACGGAATTATAAGCTGCTGATTAATATATATATTTATATTTACTGTAATTATGGAATCATTAACATTCTGCTATTGTGTTCATATTAATGAAGAAGATAAAAAACAGTATGTAACCAATCGCATTATATGAACGCAATAGCTGTAATATATATCGACAGCGTATAATATTACAAGGCTATCTCTCTCTCTGCAAGTTTCATTCATTCCGCTAATTGTAACGATGAAAATTATAACGAAAATAGCGAGACAACTGTGATTCGTCGTGTTGATTCCGTTAGTTCCGTTCCGCTATTAATTTCCGTTCTATGGTCGTCGTCCCATGAGCGGAAGTTTACCGGCGGTCTTAGGGTACCAGGCGAAACAGAACACGCGGAAACGCGGAAATCTAGTAAAATTTAATTAATTTTGTCTTCCGCGTTTCCGCATTTTCGCGCTTCATGTAATGGCACCCTTATATCGAGCACTTGATACGTGCGCGTATTAACTAGTAACTTGCTATTAAAGTATTTTAATTTCAGTAATGTATATTGAAAGAATGATGTACTAAATTAATACAATATGCATTAAAATGATTAATTAAATACATATACGTATATATTTATATGTATCGCCAAAATTAATATAGGCCGTGTTCCAAAATTTTCTGCCAGTGTGAAAATCTATAGTTTACGTTATGTGCACTATAAATTTGCAGTATTGGCAATAAAGGCAATAAAATTTGGAACACAGCCATAATTCAATAAAAAATTACTAGTGGTATTCATATTAAGTGCACGATATAAACTAGACCATTGCATGTAAAACATATTACTTATTTCAACACCTTCGCTCAATGCAAACTTTCGTGCATTTTTAGACGTAAAACCATTGATTGATGATTTCAAAAAATGCTTCGTGAAAAGGACGGTATTTCGGATGAGTGTGTAGCGATCTATGCGCATCTGTGTAGCGATGAGCTTTATCCAGAGATAAAATAAGTAGAAGATACTAATAAAAAATTTTTCGATCAAATGAAAAATTGCCTATATTGCTTGCCGATATCAAGCAAGTAAGGACAAGATTGATCTTTAGAACATTCAAACACATATGAAAATTTAAATACAATTGTACAAATATTATCTAATATGTCAGCAGCTCGAGGATGAAAATGAAACGTTATTTGAAGAATAAAATAAAATAGAATAAAATAATTTCAAGGGACTGGATTGTCATTTGCTCCTTTGACATATTTAACAATACACACTCAATTTTTATTTTCGTCATCCACTAAATATAAAACATGCAGGAGATGTTTTATTTCGACAACTGCAAATTTGAAATATTACATAAAAAAGTTTATAAAATGTTTCATGAATGTTTCAAAATAATATTTCAATTGTAACATTCCATTACATCTTGGCTGTTATTTCAATAATTTGGAATGTTAGAAAAGAAATGTTTAGCAACATCTAAGAAATGTTTCATTTGAGATGTTTTGTTTGCAACGTTCAAAGACATTATAACAATGTCACATTTGCGACATTCATAACATGTATTAAGATAGTTCATAAACATTTCATTTAGGATGTTTGGTTTATAATGTTTAATGACATTAAGCAATGCTATATTTGCGATAATGAAACATCAATTTTACAATATTCCATAAACGTTCTATATAAAACATTTACTTTATAATATATTAAAACAAACATTACACTTTCTGTACATATATTAGGTTGAGTAAAAAGTCATCGCGTATTTTTTAGCTCAAAGTTGTATACTCGTATATAATATCTTCGTCAATAATGAATGAAATTCAAATTTAAAAAAAGGGTTTTAAAGCTTGAAATCTCTACTTTTAAAAGCTTATCACATTTTTTAAATTTATATGAGTTTGATAATTATTACATACCAAAAACTACGAGCTGAAAAAGACGAAAAATTTTCTTCTCACTTTGTGGATTTGTAACGTGTCCAAAACGAATTTGAGAAAATTTTCGATTACCTATCGTGAAAGCTTGATACTTTCCCTACAAAATCGTTTTTTTT